GGGGGGGGGGGCATGACAACTACACAAACAATTGTACTGTGGTTGAAGGACACCACTGGTGAGTCGGACTTCATTTCTTTCCCTCCGTTGTTTCTGTCTGTTTTGATTTTTCCCAGCATGAAGGAATGCATTCACGTGTTTTGAAATTTAAATAGTTTACTTATTAGAATTCACTTAACATTCAAATTGGCATTTGTCCGACTATTCAATCAACTGGGTAGCAAGTGGCGGACTAGTGTCTGCGATGTAGATGTTAGGTAGGCGCCTTGCCGTCGCACGCAGAAGACCAGAGTTCGAATATTCTCCTGGGACATTGTGTACCTCTCAGCCCTGATTGGCCCAGACAGACAAGGTTGACACCTATTTTTATATAAATAATCTAAATTGTATCGATGGGGGCGAATATATACCTTTAAAAAAAAGCAATGAACTCACAAGTGGAAAGCTCAAAACGAGTTCCCTATTTTTGAAGTTCAACTTAGCATTTTTTTTTTTTAATAAAGAAAATAATAATACACCCACCTCCTAAATTATAACCTTAGAGAGTGTAAGGAAGCGTTAAAACCTATCGCAACAACTACTTGATCAGAGCCATAGATCATTGCTTAATAAAAGGGAACTTTTTAGAAAAGGGCTGCGATATTCAGTTCCAATCCTTACTGAAGCGGTTAAGACGTCCTTGCGTCCTCTCTTGGCAGTATGCCGAAGAGGAAACCCTATCTGATTTTCCCTCAAAACCCTTTTTGTGTGTGACGCTATACTGCCTTCAAGTGTCTGGGTCTTTTTAATGTCGAGTCCTTGAAGAAAATTCTGCTTTTCCTTTTGTCCTTTTCAATGGAATTTGTTTTAAGAAAAACATTATGGAACCGACATAAAGACACCCTCTTGGTACAAAGGTTGACTTGTCCAACTTTTTTGCGCACTTTACGAGACGAGTGTCGAGTTCGTGTGATATACGACAGTACGTGTTTAGCAACCGTTTTAATTCTGTAAAGTATTTCAAGAGTAAAGACATTTAAATTTGGTGTCCATCTCCGATAGCATGAGCTGAGAGAGTAGACAGTCTTGAAATTTAGTATAGATTGTGAAGCGCATAGAGCTTGCTGTTGAGCGGGGATTTGCGCTATAAAAATGCTATCTATCTATTTTTATCAAATTTTCTCAAAGAGCACAAGTTCGAGAACGCCTCGTTTGGGATCCAAATTAAGGTCATCCTATAGACGTGAATTACAACATATTATCCTAAATCGTGCACTGTCTGTCTGTACATGTGTGCGTATAAGTGTGTGTGTGTGTGT